CATTTAAGAAAATAACTGTGATATTTTGGTCTGTATTGAATGTAACTAACAATGATCCATGGAAACCAATGCTGTAAAAGAAGCAAACAAAGAAACCCTGGAAAATGCACAAAAGGAAGCAAATATACTCTGTATCCACGTTGTAAGGCTGTTCCATAACTGAAAAATAACCCTTGGATACAAATCTTCTGTGCTGAAGAATAGAAAATGCATAGCATATAACAGGACCGCTTTCTGTGACTCTTACTGACACTAAGTAGTGGATTCTGCCACAAGCATTTCCACTGAAATGAATGGGAATACTTGAGGAATAAAATACTACTCAACAAAAGTGAGAAGGGATGCAATCTGCCCCTTATGAACCAGTTGTGCAAACACTTACTCATGTGCTTTACTTTCCACATGGGAGCAAAGCCTTAGATTTCAGTGGGAGTGTTCCTGTGCATAAAATAAAGCAAGTGAATAAATGTTTGTAGGATCTGAGCCTTAGTAAGGAACTATCCCATACAGCAAAATTATACTATGAAACCCTCCTATTGTGAAGCTATCCTTTCCCCACAGACACATTCCAATGGCTCAGTCCGGCAGGATTCTGAGTTTTCTGGCCCTGATCTGGCAAAGAATGTGCTTATCTTGAAACTTATAAATAAAAATACAGAATCAATAGAACTGCCCCCAGGCTTTAAGTTTTGCACAGGGCCAGAGTGCGCAGAACATTGCAGAAACGAGTCCTATAACAAGAATTGCAATTTGCACATTACAATGAATTGAAACAATTCCAGGCATTCATTCCACTTTATTATAAATGGAGATACACTATATTAGAGTTCACTGAATCACTACAAATGAGCCCTACTGTAAGAGCATGTTGTAGAATCATTTGTGGATTTATTGGGCTATTAATATACAGGACATTTATCCCCTTCACAAGTGATAAAAAATGGCTTTTTGGTGGTAACAGACAAAAATGCTTTGCAACTAATATTTTTAACATACCAATTAATATTTTGAGCACTCATATTATATATTTCTGAGAGATAATGACTACAGTATTTATGATTACATATTTTTGAAAAATTGCATCAGAATTCCAGAAGAAATATATAAGTAGTTTTTAAAATTATCAATACACATGAAGACCACATGTTCATTTATGGAATCTAATAGTGGTTTGAAAGATCTAAAGCTATTTTAAGATTATTTAAAAAAATGAATTGGTCAAAAATATTCTTCAAAGGCAATGGTGGGATTGTGGAATACTTTTAGAAGGTAGTAAAACTATTTCTGGGATTGAATTTTAAAGCAATCCTGATGAAATTAGGCTAGAAATCTTTGCAACATATTTTATTAGATTTCTTGTTAAATAACCACTGCTGGGGGCAGATTCTGCTGCCAGTTACAATAGCATGAATCTGGCATAGCTCCATTTAACTCAGTGGGTTTACCCTGGATTTACAATGATGTACGTGAGACCAGAACATGACCACTATAATTTGTACTTCAGTAGTTGTTTTGTTTTGAAACATTTTCTTGCTTTGAATTTGGGGTGCATATGACTATTTGAATGCTAATTGTTTATACAACATGAATCTGATCACCACTGGAGTATTCCAGTTTTATGCTGGCGTAACTCCACTGAAGTCAATGGAGATACACCAGACTTATACTCTGATAAAATGAGCAAATCAACTGAACAGGCCCAGTGTGTAGTTTGAAATTGACATAGAAATAAAAAGTGCAAAAATAATGGCTGAAATTTTTGAAAATTCTTGTAATTTTTAATTATTTTCATAAAAAAAGCCTAGTTATATTGATTGAAAGAAATGAAATATGATACATTTATATCAGACTTGTATCAAGAAAGCCATGGAAGAAGAACAGAGAAGCAGCTTTTTTATAACTTATGCATACTATTCCTAACTGTGAGGGACCCAGAAAATATTTTTTTATATATAGACATGTAATGTATATGTAGAAATGTAATGAAAGCATTACACAAGAGAGAAAATTGTTTCAATAGTTCCAGCAGCAGTTCAATGGCAAAACTCCCATTGACTTTAATAGAAAAGGATCAAGGCCATAATTAGTCCCATTAAAATCAATAGGTCTACCAATGAGTTTAAAACTACGCATGAGGATACATACTTGGCTAGATTAGGCCAGAGCGCTTAGCCCCTTGAAGAATCAAGGAATTTAGTAAATCAGAAGTTCATAATCCTTTGACTACCCATAGAGAACTTAGATTTCAGATGGTAGCTATGTTAGTCTGTGTCAGCAAAAACAATGAGGAGTCCTTGTGGCACCTTAGAGACTAACACATTTATTTGGGCATAGTTTACCTTTATACTCTTCGGCTCCCAGGAACATTATCCTATCCTGAAATAATTCTTTACCAAAGACTTTGATGGGATAATACATGGAATTGTTCCACCAGCAGCTCTCTTTACATCTTAATCATAAGAATGAGTTATTACTTGATTTAAAAACCTAGTTTACTCAGTCATGGTGTTGTATGGTACATTCTGGTAAAGCATTCTATATTTTGCTTGGTAAATAAAAACTACAAGAAGAAAGTAATAAAAAAGGGACGAAATTCAGAAGTTTAAAGAATGAGATAAATTCATAGAGGACAGATCTATCAATGGCTATTAGTCATGATGGGCAGGGATTGTGTCCCTAACCTCTGTTTGCCAGAAGCTGGGAATGGACGACAGGGATCGATCACTTGATGATGACCTGTTCTGTTCATTCCCTCTGGGGCATCTGGCATTGGCCACTGTTGGAAGAGAGGATACTGGGCTAGCTGGACCTTTGGTCTGGCCCAGTATGGCCATTCTTATGTTCTATGTAATGTTAAAAAAATACCAATAAAGATAGGGCAGTTCATAATAAAACCTGTTACCTTTAGAGGCTCTAATAATCAATGACATGGAGATAAATTATTGAATTATAAATAATTCTTGAACAACAGTCTGGGTAGAATCATGAAATGTACTAGACTGGTACATACAACATAGCATAGGAAGGTGGATTTTATAATTATCTGAATTTACCCCATTATTTCCATGGCCTGTAAAATAAATAATACAAATTCAGAAAATTAATATCTAAGACCACACTTTTGAAGGAGTCTACTCTGCCTGGTCAGCAATTTTGTGCCAACAACTCTGCCTCTGGCATCACTGACTAGTTGAAATGATGTCTATCCACCTAACTTCTGTGCAGTCAAGTACTGATGATGTTTAAATATTGTCATTTGTGCCCACAAAACTGAAATATAAGATCAAGATAAACCTGAAATAATAATAATAATAATAATAATGCAATAACTAATAATAATAAAATAATGTAATTTGAAGTTGCAACCTCAGGCCCTGTGCTTTTCTGAATAAGGATGCTTTCCTGAATCAGGGTCTTAATTAGTAGTAATGCCACTAATGCTTCTTCCTGCTGAAGTCCATGGAATAACTCCCATTGGCATCAGTGGTCCTGGATCAAAGCCTAAAACCTTTGTAAGTGAGGGAAGAATTAGTCCCAATATTTTCACATGTTTTCCATTGCTTTTGGAAGAAGTAATAGATATTTACTTTTAATTATAGCCCATCAACGTTTCAGGCTCCAGTTCACAATTATACAGCATTGCTAGTTAATTTTTTGCCACTTCATTGTTGGCACTTAGCCTAGAACCATGTCTATTAGTGATGCCTCCCAATCAGCAGCTGGAACCTATAGGTCTTGGCAAGGCTTTGATTCAATGTGACTATCACAAATCAATTTCTTTGCTTTACAAGCCATTAAATGGGCTGGCATTCCAGGGTGTTTGCACAGGCAGATTTAGTACAAAGTCAGCCTAATCTGATCTGTTTTTTTTTCTCCAGAAAAATGTTGAAGCTTGCTCTTCAGCTGCAGTGATTGTATATCATTTTAACAGGGTTCAGCTAACACAAAAAATAAAGGAGAAATAGGCTCATGGAAAATAAACATGTATGGGAAAACTGACCCAAATATATATATCCTCAAAATACAATAAAATGGAGAGAGGGTTTTTTGGTGGGGAGGGGGAGGAAGGAGCAGGGGAAGGGGAACTAGGTAAGTAATCTCACTCTTTAATTGTATTTATGGTGTGTTTTTAAACAATGGGACAAACTCTCTCCTGTCAGTTACACTCCTGTAAATTTGGACTGACTGCTTTGATTTCAGTACAGTTATTTCAGATATACACTATGAGGTAAATAAGAGCAAAATTTGGTAGCAACTCTTACCTCTAAGGATACTTTATTTAAAGGCAATGGAAAAATTAAAATAGAAAAAAGAAAACCCATGATTACAGTCAGAAGTAAAATGTGTGTTATAAAAGCTCTAAAAAAGCAAATGTATGAGTTAGAGCCCCAGTCCGGCGAAGTACTTAATCAAATGCTTAACTTAAAAACACACGAGCAGCGACAATAACTGGGGCCTAGGTATGTAATGCTCCAGTCCAGGGCTTAAATTCAGCTGGAGCTGTCCGGAGAAGAGCTCTGCTATCTTATATGCAGGGCCTGTAGGTGTGCTAGGAGCTTATTTAATGGATTGGGTCCCATTCAAAATCAAGAAGAAGAAGAAGGAGGAGGAGGAGGTGGTGCTGCTTGCCTACCTTATAACTTTTAGCCCAGTGGTTAAAACACTCATGGGGGGATGTAGTAGACCGAAGTTAAATCCTCTCACTGCCTGAGGAGGAGAAAAGATTGAGAGGTCTCCCACCATTCAGGAGAGTGCTCTAATCACTGAACCATGGGATATTCTGGTGGAGGACTGGAACCTGGCTCCTCTCCTATTTCCTAAGTGGGTGGTAAAACCACCAGGCAACAGAATATTTTTTGTTTTTTCTCTCTGAACTGTGGGAGCTTTTGAGAATGAAGTTGTGTTCGGTATGTGCTGTGTGTATTAGCTGTGTTTCTGTTAGGTGGTGTCTGGTTTTGTTACTTGCTGTTTTTTGTTGCTTCCTCTGCTTTACTTTGCAGGCGCGGGGAGCTTTTTCATAGGGCCTATTTCTGATGGATTTGGAGACTGCAAGCATGAGGTTCAGGGTGTGCCTGATGTCTCCTGTACTGTGGAGGATGTGTTGCAGAGCACAGGTAAGGTTCTTGGCTGGGCTATTATAAATCTGCCTTTTGAACGAGCAAATCTATAGTGATTTTCCTGGCCCAGGATCAGTTTGTGAATTGTTTGGGAGTCTTTGGTTCCAGTGTTTCCCTTATTTACTCCTGCTACTAAAATACGGTCCCCCCCATTTTTTCACATCCTCCTTTCTTTCACAATGAGACACTAGTGTCTGCTCTCTCCCATTATGGAATTTGTGCTTTTAGATTCTGTTACCTGGGTTCTTGCAGCCTCCGAGGCATGTTATGTTGTTCTGCTGCCAGGTTTATGTGGTTCTAAATTACCCCAAGCAGCCCTTGCACCTTGTTTTAAAGCACCACATAGATGCGGATGATACTAAACTGGGAGGAGTGGTAGATACGCTGGAGGGGAGGGATAGGATACAGAAGGACCTAGACAAATTGGAGGATTGGGCCAAAAGAAATCTGATGAGGTTCAATAAGGATAAGTGCAGGGTCCTGCACTTAGGACGGAAGAATCCAATGCACCGCTACAGACTAGGGGCCGAATGGCTAGGCAGCAGTTCTGCGGAAAAGGACCTAGGGGTGACAGTGGACGAGAAGCTGGATATGAGTCAGCAGTGTGCCCTTGTTGCCAAGAAGGCCAATGGCATTTTGGGATGTATAAGTAGGGGCATAGCGAGCAGATCGAGGGACGTGATCATTCCCCTCTATTCGACATTGGTGAGGCCTCATCTGGAGTACTGTGTCCAGTTTTGGGCCCCACACTACAAGAAGGATGTGGATAAATTGGAGAGAGTCCAGCGAAGGGCAACAAAAATGATTAGGGGTCTAGAACACATGACTTATGAGGAGAGGCTGAGGGAGCTGGGATTGTTTAGTCTGCAGAAGAGAAGAATGAGGGGGGATTTGATAGCTGCTTTCAACTACCTGAGAGGGGGTTCCAAAGAGGATGGCTCTAGACTGTTCTCAATGGTAGCAGATGACAGAACGAGGAGTAATGGTCTCAAGTTGCAGTGGGGGAGATTTAGATTGGATATTAGGAAAAACTTTTTCACTATGAGGGTGGTGAAACACTGGAATGCGTTACCTAGGGAGGTGGTAGAATCCCCTTCCTTAGAGGTTTTTAAGGTCAGGCTTGACAAAGCCCTGGCTGGGATGATTTAACTGGGAATTGGTCCTGCTTCGAGCAGGGGGTTGGACTAGATGACCTTCTGGGGTCCTTTCCAACCCTGATATTCTATGATTCTATGATTCTATGGGGTAGCTTATACAGTGTTTGCTACCTCTGAAAACATGGAAATGTTTCCTGTGTGGTGACCCTGGTCATCTGAGGGGGTCCTACCCGTGCACTGCTCTGGGTTCCATGGTAAGAAAGTGGGACCCCAGGATAGTGGGGTGGGGGCTGGAAAATCAAGGGACCAGCAGGAGACAGAGCCTACATCTGTACTGGCTGATTCTGTCTGCCCCACTCACCATATGTGGTCTGCCATTGTCCATGGAGCAGCCACCTCCCACTCCCAGAGGAATCCTCTGTTATAACCCCATCATTTGTGCCATGACAGAAGCGAGTCCTAGGAGCACCTCCTTGCAGAGCAAGCAGAGACAGGTTCTAGAAATAGGCAGGGGGTGAAGAACAGACAGAGAGATTTGTGCGACTATTTCTAAAAGGGCTAACACCTTGGCCCCTGAGCTTTGGCAGTAGCTGAGGATCAAGCTATGTGCCCTGAGAAGGATAGTGCTGCACTGGGTGGTAGCCCCATCTCTGGAGTTCCCAGAGAGGAGCTGTCTCCTCCTGGTACGATGAGCCCTCAAGTTCCTGATCCTGCATGCTGCAGTGATGATGCTAGGTCCCTGTCTGGGGCTGCACTCTGCCTACCCCTCTTAGCAGATATCCCAGCTGCTCTCACTGAATCTCTTTCCTTCGTGAATGATGAGAATGTTACAGTGGCAGCTCAGTGGTGTTCTGAGCTAGTAGAGTCTGAGGGGAATGTCGATAATCTCTCTGACTCCTCAGTGGTTCCTGATGTCCCAGCAGTCAGCCATATAGGAAGGGTGGGTACAGCGTGAAGGAGATTAGTGACTTTTTGACCAGCACTTAAGGGAGGCAGGAAGTTGAACTTGAGGACTTTTCCCCTAATTTACAGCACTTTGTTCATGCAGCTGCCCTTGTCTTGAGAGAGATCTCAGTTGATCATAGAAAACATTTCCATCTCAAAAAGTTGTTGAGTAAAGTGCAGAAGCATGTGAGGGTTTCTCAAGATATATAAGCCTCCCCATGGCCCCATTCATTCCCCCCACAAAGTACTTCCACTCTTCCTTATTTCTCTCTGCTTCTTGGCTCTCACCTTCTAGTGTCTGTGGGCTGCTCAATTTTGGCTCTCTAAATATTAATGGATGCTGGGATGGTCATAAAAGAGCACAACTCTTTGATTTTTCTCAGACAAAGATGGGTTGATTTTGTCCTCTTGCAAGAGATGCAGTCAAACTCTGATAATCAGGGAAGCTGGCTGCAGGAATGAGAAGGAGAAGCTTTCCAATGTCATTGCTGGGGTAGCTGTTATTTTTCCTGGAGTGCAAGGGAACAGATCCTATCTATGAAGGAGGTTGTGCAAGGCAGGCTCCAGATGGAAACATGTACTGACACTGCTGGTTTTTAATATTTTACCGTGTATGCCTGTGATGAAGCAGAAGAATTATCTGCTGGCATAGAAGGGGTAAAAGAGAGGCTTTGGGTCCAGCTAGCCCTGCCCAGTTATACCTACAGCCAATGCCAGGCCTGGAGGGGAGAAAAAAGGAGAGAACCTGGCTCAGTTCAGGGCTGATTGGTGAAGAGGAAAGAGCTAGCTGCGTCCCTACCTGAGGGGAAGAGTTGCTAGCCTGCCAACCAAGGCAGCCACCAGGAAATAAGCACCATCTCCCTGGCTAAAAGGAGATTGTGGAAGAGATTTAGAAGCCTACGAGATAACCAGGTGACCAAAGCACAGAGACATTGTGAAGTTCCAGCCCTGCCAAACTTTCGGCTGCCCCACTTAGAGGAAACTGGGACTGCAAGAGGATGCTGCCTAAGTCCCTGAGGAGGTACTACTAGAGACAAGGCTGACCACAGCAACTTGGACTATATGGGCCATGTCCCAAAGTGAAGGAACAGCAGTAGGAAGTAGCCTAGGGCAGTGGACATAGACTCCCTACTGCGAGGTCTCCTACTCAGGGGTTAACTCACACAGGGCCCTGGGCTGGGACCCAATGGAGTGTGAGAGCCCAGGTTCCTATACCCACTTCCTGCCTTTAAGACTGAGGTGCCTCAACCAAGCAAAGGGGTGCAAGTCAAGCACTCCAGCCACTAGGATTGCCTAGCCCGGCAAGACCCCTGCACAGTTCTGGCGGAGAAAGTAGGAAAATCTGGGGGCAAAAAACCCTCAAGCAAAAACTACCTCCAACCCCCCTCTCACTGAATGGAGATGAGGCAGCTGCTAAAATGGATGGCTGAACAAAACACCCACAATCATCATCCAGCAGCAACAACTACTTCAGCAAATAGCCAGCTAGCAACAGCAGTTGATCCATGAGCTATTGGACCAGCAGCAACAACAGCTTCAGCAGGTGGTCCAGCAGGTGATCATGACACTATAGTCACCAGCTCCTGTGGAGCCAGAGAACCCCACTCCAGTTGTGACTCCCGCCGCTATCAGGCTTACCAAGCCCCCTCTTACAGTGCCCCCCACACAGCCTTTTGGACCAGATTCAGAGGCATGTTAACCATTTTTAGAGGGGAATAGTTACCACAGGTTACTCCCTGCTTTGTTGTTCCTGCCATTAGATGAGGAGGGCCAGGGCTCATTGATTTAGTCTGGAGGGTGGCAGCCTCTTGCCTACAGTCTGTTCAGTGGTTGCTGTACTCCAATTCCCCACTGGCCTGAAATTCTGTCTTTCCTCCATCTTGCTGGACTCTCACCTATATTGCTGGTACCTGATCGATTAGAGAGTCTAGATTTGCCTCCATTCTATTATGGTCTTTTTAATGCCTGCCAAATTTTGTGAAGTGCAAGGCCAGACCAGGTGCTTTCCAGTTTACGGTTCTTGGAAGAACCATTCTTTTTTTAACCCACTTTTTCCTGTTGAAGCTCTCTTTTTCCAGGAACCTGTTTTCTGTCTTTACCCATGCCAAGTTGACCAAGCTGTCCCACCTGATTGTTCCTAGTTGATCAAGCTGGATGTCGGTGGTGTCTCTTGCAGTTCATACCAGTATCCAGTCTGTGGGTTTGTTGTTGTGGTGGTGTGGTGTGTGGGTTTGTTTTTTTTTGTTAATACAAGGCCCTCAGTGGCTGCTGAGTATTTGCAGAAAGGTTTTGCAGGAAATGGTCATCCTGGGGGAGGGATATCCCATGATTCTTTCACTAATTATCTCCCTTTCTGAGGATTAGATCCTTGTGCAAGGAGATGGTTGTCCTGGAAGGGCTTGGTAAATGTTCCTTTTGCAGACATGGCCAAGAAACAGCTCTGAGGCATATGTGTCAAGATGTGGCATTATGCTACCCTCTCTGATCTCCCTGATATGACCTTGGGTGAGTCTGTGTCCCGGGCTCGGCAGACGCTGTACAAACCTCCCCTTCATAGGCACTCTGGTGACTTGCCGTGGAAGGACCTGCATTGCTTCCTATCAATCTATCATTTTATGAACTATATTACTCCTGAGATGTCTGTGAAGTACTTCCTCTGTTTGGTTTTGGATGTGGTTCATTTTTTCCTATATTTCCCCAATTTGAGTCCCGCTTTTGGTTTTTTGTAGCAGCTTTTCAGTGGTTTGGGACTAGTTTTCTCCAAGCCCCTGTTTCTTCTGGCAGTGAGATACAATGCTTGCATTTGGCCAGTTTCCTGCTGGCTTATTTTCTGTTGGTTCAGGCAAAACTGGCCATTTTGAAATCTTACCAGAACAGAGTGATGGTGGAAGAGGCATGTGATATTTACCACTATTCTGCCCCCGGATTGTGGCCTGATTGCAGACTGATTTACAC